GCTGCCATTTCCCATTGACCTTGTTGCCATGGAGACAGCCTTCCAGTGTCAACAACTCAGGAATCCACAGGGGCCGGTCAGGCGTGAGAGGCACGTGGTGGGCCCCTCTCCCTGCGCCGGGCACGTGCCCCCAAGGGCAGTCGGGTGCCCTGCCCACCCCCAGGCACTTGTGCAGGCAGTGGTGTGGCGACTGGCACATTGAGGACCTGACGGGAGGACAGGATGAGCTGGGCCAATGGGGGTGGGGGCCCCAGCACCCACTCCGGAAATCCCCCGGCCTAGGAGAGTCAAAGGTCCACCCAGCTCCAGTTCTAAGTGCCCTGTCATCCTTCTAGAAGCCACTGCCCCCCTCCCTGCGCCCCCCCCCCAGCAAGGCGGGCCAGGTGCCCTCATGGGCTCCCCGGGGCAGGGCAGGGTGGGGGTTTCCCAATTCTCCTTTCTGACTCGGCCGATCCCTTCCCCAAGTGTTCCTGGCAGGACACGGGAGCAGGGTTTCTCCCTGGAAGCCTCCACGCTGGCCTGTCCATCCCCCATGGACACCACTAATTAGGGTCCGGGTGTGTCTTCAGAGTCCCCTGGGGAACGTGGCAGGTCGCAGATAGAACGAAGCACAGCCGGGCTCCTCGACCACGTCCCGTCCAGGGGGCTCCAGCGAGTCCCCCCACTGCCCAGTGAGGTCCTCACTGCCTGGACGAGGGAGCACAGTGGCAGTGGGTGTCTGTAGACAACCGAGGGGGCCTGACTCGGGGTGCCCTGCCGCGCCAGCACCTGGAATCCGTGTGAGGCGCCCCTGTCTCAGAGCCCAGTGCGGCCTCCAGAGAGCCCATGATTTAGGGGGCCTTTTTACGGGTTCCCTTGTCATTTACGGAAACCCTCTAGAGGCACCCCAGCGCGCCAGCCTGAAGGAGCCTGGCATTCGGCAGGTCTGGGCTGAGCCAGGTGCCCCTCAAGGGCCCCTCCTCTCCCTCCCTCTCTTGCAGGTGTCCAGAGCGGGGTCCTGCCTGTCCCCCTGCCCAGAGCCTTGGGAGGCCAAGGCGAGCCCCTCTGGCCCCGTCCAGGGGCCCGGCCAGCAGAGGGCTCCCCTTCCCTTCTCCCCCACTGAGGCTCCACACCCCCCAGTCAGCACAGCAGCGCCAGGCCCTGGGGTAGTGGGGTCCCAACCCAGAGGCACACCACCCACTAATTCGCCCCGCAGCCACCCCCTCAGCCCTGGGGTCGCGGGCTGGGAAGACCCTGGCAGGCAGGAGCTGAGTGGAAAGAGCGCAACTCCTCAGCCCCACCAGCCAGGGAGCTGCCTGTGGCCTCGAGAGCTGTCGCCGCCCACCCTCTGCACCCAAACCCCCCACCCCGTCTTGATTCTCCAGCTGCTCAGAGGGGCTGTGAATTCCGCCTGGGGGGGCCGGGCGGGGGTGACCGCCACCTCCTGGCCAGGAGCCTCGCTCTGAGCTGGCCTGAGCCCCTGGAGGGCACCAGGCCCCCCCCCGCCCCGTGGCCCCAGCTCTGAGTCCCGCCCACCCCGCATGTCTGGGGCCTGAGGCGGGCCTTTCCCACAGGCTCCCAGGCCGCTGCCGTCCCGCTGGGGCCACACTCAGAACCGTGGCCCGGGTGTGTTGGGCAGAGATGCTCAGGCCCGGATGTTGTAGTTTATTTCTTTTGTAACAGAAAAGCATTTAAAGAGCCTAGTCCAGAGCCGGGCAAGTAATTTGTTGCTATGATCGAGATGTGAGCTCTGCTTACAGGCTTGAGGGGAATAATGGGCCCTTGAACAGGCCAGTGCTGGAGAAGGTGTACTTGGCCCAGGAGTCACCCTTCATTAGGTCACTCAGACAGCCCTCACCAGGCAGCCGCAGTGAGCTTGGGCTACAGAGCAGCCAGCGGCCCCCACTCAGGACTCCAGCCTTCCAGGAACAAAGCCAGGAAGGCTCCCCGGGGGAGGCGGCTTGAGCTGGGCTGTACTGGAAGCAGAGAGAGGCCCCTAACAGTCCCTGATTTTGGGCCCTTGAATGCATGCACACACGCGTGCGCCCCGAGCGCCCCGAGGGTTGGAGAGGAGAGGGGAGTCTCCGGGGGACAGAGGCTCCAACCGGGAGCTGAGGAAGGTCCAGCTGAGCTGATGGGGGGGGGGGCTTGGTCTGCCGTGCTAGCAGGCCCCACCCAGGCAGGAAAAGCGCAGACACCTCTTCTCTGGGCCCTGGAGGCTGGACTGGTTTCTGGCGAGCCCCCTGCCAGGCTCCATCACCGGCCCTGCGCAGTGACCCCGACTCCCTGCCCTTCTGAGGACACGCCATCCGCGGGGTCTGGGCCCCACCCAGTGACCCAGGGACAGTAATCGGCTCCTTCCAGGCCTGTCTCCAACACAGTCGCTCTGGGGTGGGGCTGCAACCTGAGGGCTTGAGGGGGACTCCGTTCATAAAGGGGCGACAGGAGCTTTCGACCTGGGCTCAGGCCTTGCCCGAAGGCCTGGACTGGGGCAGCCACGGCCCAGGAGCCCCTTGGCGGGAGCAGCCTGTGCACAATGCCCCCACCCCCGCAGGCCCCAGTTACCCACTTCTGGCGGTTGGCTGCCTCTCAGGGAAATTGTTCATCAGAAGATCCGCTCCCAGCCCTGCGGGGGGCGGGGAGGGAGTTGATTTTGTTTTGATTATTCGTATCAGTGGACGTGACGCTTCCGGGCCGTGGGCGGAGACGCGTGGGCACCCCTTGTCCAGGCCACGTCAGCGCCCGCTGGGCCTGGGGCTCCCGGCCGCTCCCGCAGAAACAGGCCTGCAGCTCCCTCCCTGCCCTGCACCAGGCCCGGGCCTGGCCGTGGGGAGCAGCGAGCCCCTCTGTCTGGACCTGCGTGGCGGTCCCGCCCGGCCTCCTGCACAGCCCGGTGCTCCCCTCGGGGGCCTGCGCGCCCCCTGGGCACACAGGCCCCAGGCCGAGGCGGGAGGGCCGTGGAGAGTGCCCGGTCGGGGCTCGGAGCCAGCCAGGGCAGCGGGCAGCTCGGCCTGGGAATGAGAGGCCCATGCCTTCTACCGACGGGGGCGTGGGGGCCAGAGGCCCCGGAGCCCCCCCCAGCTCATTCTTCAGGGAACCCCTTTCCTCTGGCGCGGCCCGCCCACCGCCCAGTGCCCGCGCACAGCCGCCAGTGCTGCCAGCCAGCCTGCCCGCGGCTGCTGGGCAGGGCGGCGGCGGGGAGGGCGGCCTGTTTGTTAGCCGCCCCCAGCGCCCCTGCAGAGACCTCCCTTCCCGCTGATTCATTACGTGTGGGGAAGCGGAGCGTGACATGTTAAAAGCCGTCTTGATAGTATTTGATATTCAGTACTAACAACTCCCACCTCCAGGAGGGGGGGTCTCCCCCGGGAGGGGGCAATCTGCATACTGGATGTGCCAGGACAGTAGGTAATTTGCATTAAGCATCCAGAAATCCTCTGCTTGCAATCTGTCACCCTTCACTGGGTTTTCATCTTATAACCTTCACAACAGAAGGAGACAGCATGAACACAGGGGCTGCACCCCATGGGGGCTGGGGGCGGGGGTGGCCTTGAAGCTGGGTCCAAGGGGTCCTGGCCGGAAAGACACAGGCAGAGGCCACCTGGGGTGGCCCACGCGACCCTGGGGTGAGCGAGGCCGGGCAACCAGAGATGGGGTGGTGTGAGGGGGCGCCCCCCACCCCGTGCACGGCTCCTCTCTCCAGGGAGCCAAGTTCAGCCCAGGTGGGGGTGCGCCTGAGAACACCTGTCTTTGCCGTGAACGCCACCTCAACAGCCCCACAGGTAGACGTGCGGACGGCCCGCCCTGCAGTGACCCTGACCTGTGCACCTGCAGGGTTTGGGCTTCAGACAGAGCCGGCCCACCCTTGGGCAGCCCCGGGCAGCAGGGGCCTCCCCAGGCTGGGGTGGGCAGAGGGATGATCCCCAGGCCCCTTCTCTGGTTCCTCTCCTGCCCCCGTTCACTCGCCCACAAAATGGGGAGTCAGGGACTATCCTCAGCAAAGGGGGTCCGGGCTTGGGGACAGACTGACAGACCCATCCCTCGGCTCCTGCCACGGCCAGGCCCTCTCTGGGTCTCTCTTCCCTGCGGGGTTCCCAGGGAGGCACCGTTGGAGAAGAGGGTTTGCAGGCCCCGGCTTCCAGTCCAGTGCTGGGCACAGGTGGGCCTGCACCTGCGGGACCACCGGCCTCCTGCAACTCCCAGAGAATTCCCCAAGGCAGAGGCGCTGCCCGCCAGCCGAAGCACCCCCAACACGTCATACTGCAAGCAGGCACCCCAAAGTCCAGCACAGGCCCAACCAGGAGGCCAGCCTCACCCCCATGCCCTCTCCATGGCCGGGCCCAGCGCTGGTGAGGGCACGGGAGCGGGGCCCTGCCCACTCCGGAGCGAGCCTTGTCTGCCTGCCACAAGGGCCAGGGCCTGGGCCACAGCGGGGAGGTGCCCAGAGGCCCCAGGGTCCCTGCTGAGCACAGCCCCACGCCTGGGTGTCCTTCCCCCGGAAAAGCAGCTGAATTTCCCGCCTTGAGGAGGTGGGGCAGGAGGGGTGGGTGCTGGACCCGGCCTTCCCCGCCAAGCGCGAGGGCTGGAGCCCCCGCACCCCACGGGCCAGCCCGGGCCCCCTCCCAGCACTCCGCTAGCTCTCGAGGCAGCAGAAGTGACCTCTCCGGGCCAGGGGGCCCCCGCACCCGCACTGTGGACCAGACCCACGACTTCCATCCCCTCCCAGTCCTCACCCCGTTCTCCTCCCTGGGGCCCTCGAGGACCACCTGGTGCGCTCGCTCTTGGGGAAATGACAGCGAGCCCCGAGTGGGCCATCCCCGAGGGGAGCCGCCCGTGAGAGGGCACGGAGCTCTGGACAGGGCGGGCCTGCGGGGGCCGCCTGGCCCTCCGGCCCCCTCCCCTCCCCCAGCTGCTCACGGGTCCCCCCGAGCCAGCCTCCGGCAGAGGGGCCGCCCCTGCACGGCCCAGGGCCCCTCCCGGACGATCCCCCACGCCCCTGGCCTGACCCTGCCTCTCCCCCACAGTCCACGGCATCAAGTGGACCTGCAGCAACGGGAACAGCAGCTCTGGCTTCTCGGTGGAGCAGCTGGTGCAGCAGATCCTCGACAGCCACCAGACCAAGCCACAGCCTCGGCCCCACAACTGCCTCTGCGCCGGCAGCCTGGGTGAGCGGGCCCGGGGCGGCGGGCTCCGGGGCGGCGTGCGTCAGGGGCCAGCCCACCGCGGGCGGGAGAGAACGTTCCAGAGGCTGCCCCCTGGCAATGATGGGCAGCAGAGCTGGGGCACACAGACTGGGGCCCCAGGCCTCTGTGCCCCACGCCAGTGCCCCCCGCCTGCATCTTGGTGCCAGGCCCCGGGCAGGGGCATCAGGGTCTCGCAGGGGAGCTGGGCCCTGGTGCAGGGGTCGCCCGGCTGACCCTCTCCTTAACTCCCGCCCCCCCACGAGCCCGGGAGACCCCTGCTCCAGGGTGACTGCTGCTGAGGGCGGCTTGTTCTGTGCAGTGCGAACCAGGCATGGCCTCTGCGGCCTCCGTGGGGTTCCCACTAGGGTCGCCCCACGTCTCCGTGCTGTCTTCACGCACCTGGGAACGCGGTGAGGCAGTCGCGGGGCAGCCCCCCGTCTGTGTCCCTCGTGGGCTGGAGGCGTAATGACCACGCGGCTGCCTGCCGCGGGCCCTGGGCCAGCGCCGGGAGGGACCCTCGCCCGGCCCCCGCCTTCTCTGCCTCCGACTGGCGCTTCAGGGCTCCGTCCTGCCTCAGGCCGCAGGATTTTGTCCCGCAGAACTGAGGATGAGCCCCGGGCAGACGACAGGGTGGAGGGTGGCCCCCCACACCTGTCTGCCTCTGGAAGCCAAGTCTAGAACCTCCTCTGGGCCCGACTGCTAATCCAGAGGGGTCCCCACACCACCCCGGCTTCAGTTCCGGGGGCGGGGGCGGGGCGGCTCCCTGCTGGAGCCCACGGAGGAGGGGGCTTCCCGGGCCGGAAGCAGCGGGCAAGGGGGTGGGACCGCTCACCCTCCTGGGCTGGGCCCCTCCGGCCGGCAGTGGCGGCCACCCCTGAGGGTGGACAGCAGGCCCTGGGGAGGGCG